GCGATAAAACACTTAAATCATTTGTAAGTAACAGTTTATAGTACTGCTGCAGTGATTATTCTTTTTGAAGTTTATTTACAAAAATAAACTTCAAGAAGAGCAGTCATACTTTACATTGAGCAATGAAAGATCTGAAGTTCAAATTGTAAGTTGGTAAAATTTTTCAGGCTGAAACCATCTAAGAAGATTTATTAGAAATATAATGTTATACAGCACCTGATGCTTTTTTGTTTTGTTTTGCTTTTTTATGATATATTTTTTTCTATGACTGAATTTTTTGTTTTTGTAAAGTACTCTATCTAAATCAGTTTTAAATTTATCATTCAACATATATGTTATTTGATTGTGGATTATATAACTATACTATGATTAAACTTGCTCTTTCAAGCTTACATCCTTATCAAAAAGTATCCAATCGTACAAGTCTACAAGTCATAGGGCAATCGTAGAGTACAATCAAAGTTGAGTTCTGCATAAAGGAAAAAGAAATTCACAAATGTTTGTTAATAGTCGATATAAATTTTAAATTTTAACAGTAAATTTGTCATAAATTGAAGCTCTTAACAGAAGAGGCACATATTTGTGAGTTTCAAAATAAATAAAGTAGGTGAAATTTATTGAAAAAATCTTTAAGAAATAAATATAATATTGATGACTATTTTAAATTTAAACATATTAATAAATTACAGTAATTCAATTTATGAATTTTATAAGACATCATTGTTTTAATTTTGTTTTAAGATTGCATTTTATCTGTTCTAAGATAGCTTAGCTTAATACGTACACGTATACGAAACTCAAATAAATGAAAAATGAAAAAACTTGCGATATTTACAAAGTTTTCAATTTATCACTAAAATGCTTCACTGCCTACTGCTTAATACTGTAATGAATTTTTAGAAATAAAACATTGAACTTCAAGTGATATTAGAAGTACTGTAATTGACTACACATGTAAATATTTAAAAGAGTAACTGTGTTCTGATGATATCGCAAGGTGTTGAAGATTGATCTTCTAAAATTGTTGGCTGTTTATATTGCCTCTAATACATTTTTTCTGAGAAATTGTAAGTTTAACAATGTGAACAAGGCAAGGTAATGCTTTTGCAGTTTCTGTTCTTTTTTTTCTTGTTCAAATTGTTTTTTGAACAGCAACAGTTCTTTGTTTGTTTTGATTCAGATATCAGTAACAAGCACTTTTTCTTTGCTAAATTAAAAAAGTAAAAGCTGATGATTGTAATTTCTGCAAAAATTAATGAGCAAGTAAAATTTTAGAATTCCTGTCAAAGTTCTGAATTACAAAAGTCAAATAAGTTCAGTGACAATTAGTGGCATTAAAATTATATCAAAAGACTGTTTAATAATTAAAAGGAATGACTTTAAAAAAAATGTTTTTTTAAGGTTAATTTCATAGAAGCCTATAATAGAAAATTTATAACTGCTATGCAAACATCATGAGCTCAAGAATCTTTAATTATCGTTGATTGATTATCAAAAGGAATAATACTGCTCGTCAAATTAATAAAACTGAGAAGCTGCAAGTTTGTTATACGAGTGCTCTAAAGCATCTCTATACAATCTTAATCTATGTACAAAAAATTTTAGTTGTAATAAATTTAATCCAAATGTACAATCTAATGATGACCTTTGAATGACTTTATCAAACTTAAGCTATTAGAATATTGAGTACATAAATTTATATTTTATATATAAGTTATATTCTGTATATAAGTTTTAATTTCATTTCAAATATTAGTCAATGCATTAGCAGTTAAAAGGTTTAAATCTGCCATCTGTTATCTTACGTGGGAAATAGCAACATTTTTTAAATAGTACAAATTAAATAATCTTTAGAAGTATATTCAAGCATAGCAAAAGATTAAAAATTAATAGCAGTGAAAGCAATAGCTATAAATCATATATCGCTGAAGCGCATTTAATTTGAAGTTATTTTTGAGAAAAGTCAATGTTAATCTTTTATTTATTACCCAAAACGAAGCTTCATTATTTTGCTTATTACTTGTTAGAATTTTTATTCAACAATATAAAATATGCAATAATTGATGAACTCTTGCAGAAATTGAAAATATTGATTTAAAAAAATATAAAAATAAATTCAGGCAACGAAGTTTGATCTTATATTTTTGCTAATAATTTTTGGCTTCACTAACTTATCATTCAATTATGCCTTTCAGCAATCATTTAATGATATTCATTACATCAGTGATTGCAATTTTTAATATTCAAGTTATTTGTAGCAAAAAATATGAAGATAAGTTCAGGTATCAAAAGCTCTGTTAAGTCTTATTTGTAGCAAAAAGTACTGTTATAATATATGAAATATGCTTTGAGGTGTGTAAAATTGAATATTATTGAGGACAGTGTCAAGATTAGCTATCAGTATTATTATCAGGAATTTATCCAAATAATTATTGAAAGATGACTAGTTAAATAAAATCTAAAGTTATTTAAAAAATTTAATTTTGCCAGAAAAAAAATTTTTGAATGTTTTGAAAAATTCCTAAATTAGAATTTTTAGCTACATAATAGTTGAAGTAATTCATCAGTAACGAGTAAAAATGAATTATAATAATATTAGTTATGTTTTAGTGCAAAGTTAGAAGAAAAAACAATTGGATATGAGTAAACCACATTTGTAGTATATGCGTAATGATTGTTTACAAGTTGAATTTATCTCATTTGATATTCATTTCTTTCTTTTTTTATAAACGAACATCGAGTAAATGTTAAACTGCATGTGAATATATAAATAAGCTCATCTTAACTTTTAATTTTTTTATTCGATAAAATTGATAGTTTTTATTTCTTTGATTAAAGTACTAATGCAAAATTATAATGGTTAATTATGACGTCTAAAAGGGGACAACTTGAACTAATTAATTTATTTTGCTATATAAGCAATAATAAAAGATACTGAGAAAAAAATGATTCAATATATGGGAAAGCAAAATTGAAAAAAGTGACTGCAGTATAGCTGCATTAGTTTAAAAAGGCTAAACGAATATTATTAGCACAGTGCAGTTAAATGAATTAAAAATGAAGCAAATACAAATGACCTGATAGCAAAGCAAATAATTATTCAAATTTTAATTCAACTTTTTTTAGTCAAAAAATTTCAAGTAGCAATATTATTTTATGTTATTTGTGCAAGTTAGCTTTGTTAGATGTACAATAATTATGATGTGTTATTTGATATAAACCTGTTACAAAAATGCCATATTATAATTTTGCAATCAAGTCGCATTATGCCGCAAAACAAAGTATATAAATTACTTTTCCATATTTAAAGTTTACCAAATATTTTAATAAATATTTTTATATCAATTAAACAATTGAACTTCTAACTTTTAAATTTATCTTCTTCTTAATCTGAGATTATTTCCTTTCTATTTTACATTATCATAACAATATATGAAAAATAGAAATAGAGTGTGATTCCTCATATCAAAACGTATACACATACATATACATGTGTGTGTATGTATATATGTCTATCTAATTTTTTGTATATAAAAATGTAACAGGTTTTTCTAAAATTGACAAAACGACTCTATTTAACATCTTGACTATTTAAAAATCAATCCAAAGAATGATAAAATGATTTTTACTCTGATGTTGGTTGCGCTTTTTTTTCCCAAATACCAATTTGTTTCAACTATAAAATGATAAATTGTGACCAATTTATCTATTATTTAACGTTGACGCAATCATACTTTACCTCTGCAGATAATTAAATAAACAAAAAAGCATTCCTGCAAAACTTGCTTATACGTTTATTTCTCTCTTCCATTTTCTGCTATTTATTTCCTTTTGTGAATGAATTTTTGACATAAGTTCATTGCCACTTTTTTCGTGAATATATTTTTATCTATTATTATATATAGTGAATTTTCATTTTTTACAAAAATTATTTTATTATCATTTTTTTCTCTTTTCATCTTCTGCAAAAATTTCATTGCTTGTTTTTATAGCAAAATATTTGTGCTCTCAAAAAAAAAAAATGAATTTATCAAAATATTATCAAGTTTTTGTCTGATTTGTTCTCAAATTATTTGCCTTTTACTGATTTCTTTTATATTTTTTTATCATTTATATGCATAAATTGGTTAAAATTAATCTGTTCTCATTCATATTACTACTATAATAATAAATGCTTCGTTTTATATACAAATAATGCAATTCCCGCCAATTTTTTTTAACTTCATAAAATTAGAAAGAATTAAATTCTGTTCGATTTTTTTAAAAATACATCTTTAGAATATGAGAGTTAAAAGAAGGCGTAAAAGCAATTTCATTAAGATGATAATAATAGTTAAGTTAAATTATAGAAATGGTAATAAGAAGCACTAGCATAGAACCTTTTTTTATGAAAATTAACGGTAAATGGTTACGTATCGATGAAGAAATGCTATCAAAGCATCCGGGTGGTATTGCCATCACAGCTTATCGAGATGCGGATTCAACAACAGCATTTCATGTATTTCATGCAGGCTCTAAAGTGGCATATCAATGGCTTGAAAAAATGTCAATAAATAGCGTTGACTATGAACCCTCCAAAGAACAGGTCCGAAGATCACTAGTTATTATCATTATTTGCTTATCAATTATCAAAAATAATTAGAACAGATCTATTACAAATAATTAAAATGAAATCTTAGAAATATAAACAAACTTTATGAGGTTTTTTTAATAATATAATTTAATCAATAACTCTAAATTTAAGAAGGATACATCGAAAATGACATCAATGGTTAGTAATGAAGTAATTGGTAGTTTGAATTTGGATGCTGAACATGTTATAGCTATTAATCAAAACTTTAATCGCTTCAGAGCACAGGTCACTTTTTTTCTTTTTTATCAATGTAATATCTATCATTTAAAAATCAGTAAAAATATAACTAGATAAATTGATTTTTTTTTCCTTCTCAAAAATTCACAGTACTATAGAAAATTTACAATTTGTTAAGCTAAATGCCTTTTACAATGATTTATATATTTTATCGTTTAAAAATTGTAAAATGTTCTATTTCACAGGTATATATGCACATGTGATTTAAACTTTGACATACTTTGCTGGAATGTTGATCAAAATATTTTTCATGGCTTGCATTCTTATTACTTATTATTCACTAGATTTTTTAGTACATTAGTCATTTCAGGTACGAAATTTAGGACTTTTTGAAGCAAAAAACACTTTTTTTATTCGTAAAATATGTGAAGCGATAGGTCTTTTGTTATTAGCAGTTTTGCTACAAGTTCATCAACGTTTCATCTTATCTGCTTTGGTCTTAGGATTAGCTTGGCAGCAGTTAGGATGGTTGATTCATGAATATGCTCATAATCAACATTTTAAGGTAATTTTAATAGTTTCTTTTTCTTCATGATGTGACAGTAGTAACAGTTCAAACAATGAAAAAAATTATAAATCTTGATAATTCATTTTGTTAATATAATCAAAAAACAATATTTTGGAAAAAAAATTTTCAAGAATCATTACTGGAATAATTTGGTATCATACGTGGTTGGAAATCTTCTCCAAGGCTTTTCAAGTGGTGGTTGGAAAGAACAACATAATATGCATCATGCGACTACAAATGTAATCGGACGTGATGGTGATATTAATCTAATGCCATTTTGGGCTGTTATACCTTCTGATTTATTAGTGAGAATATTGTTTTTTACATCCTCATTTATTACCATGGAACTGTTTTTTAAAATATTTATTTTATTTACCATAATTTTTGTATTATAATTATCAAGATCAAGTAATAAAAAAAGCAGTTTCTCATGCAGCTTACAAAATTAAAATAGCGTTTTAAACTTAAAGCGCCTTACCAAATTAAGAAAAATTAAGGCAAGCTTCTTTTGACTTCATTTTTCAAACAATCATTACTACTAGTTTGTTTATAGGAGCTACAAAATAGTTGGGTGCTTAAGATGATACCATATCAACATATTTATTGGACATTATGTTTTCCTTTTTTACGACTTTCTTGGCTTATACAATCTATCAGTTTCGTTATAAATATGTCCTCTAGCCCCTTTGAGGTTGTTTTTGAAGAAAAATCAAGTTTTAATTCTCATAACCACTAAATATTCATTGTCCTTTTAGGTCCATCGAAAAAATGCAACAATCGAACGACTGACATTATTTATACATTGGTGTCTAGTATTACTTCAACTTTACTTCTTGCCAACACTGCAAATACGGTTCACTTATTTCTTAATATCCCAATTATTTGCAGGATTTTTGTTGGCTCATGTAGTTACTTATAACCACTACTCTACATCGAAATTTCAATGTAAGTAAGTCAATCCAAATTATTTCATCAAAATTTAAATTAATGATGTTTTTGAAATTTTTTTATCCCGTAAATAAATTTATAGATGATGATCCAATCTTAAAATGTTATGCTTGTCTTCAACTTCACACAACCAGAAATATGCGTCCAGGAATATTTACTGATTGGTTATGGGGTGGACTCAATTATCAAATTGAGCACCATTTATTTCCAAATATGCCAAGGCATAATTTGAAGAAAGTTCGTTTTTTGCTTTTTACAACTTGAAAAATATTTTAAGACATATGAATAGTTCTAAAAAAAGTATTCATTACAATGATTAATGGGATAAAAATAAATAATAATTGCAATGTATAGCATGGTATTATTGTTGTAATTGTTTAACAAAAATTGTTTACAATTACTATTATTCACACATTTGTTTAATGATAATTATTTCACACTTGTTTGTGTATTCATTCATTTTTAGGTGATGCCATTAGTGAAAGAATTTTGTAAGGAAAACAAATTGCCCTATATGGTCAACGGTTACTTTGAAGGATGGTGGATGGAAATTCGACAGATGGCCATCATTGCCAAACAAGCTCAACAGTATTTGACTAGAAGTGCGTAGAGAAAATAGAAAGTGATTGCAAGAAGAAAAAAAGAAGAAAAAAAATTGTTTTAAAATTTGCGCTAAAAATTTTTAATTTTTTTAATAAACTGAACTGTGAGTAATATTATAATAATATGAAATATTCCATTAAATTATCATTAATAATTTCATTATTCTTTCAATGTACTATTTTTTTTTTGCTTTTACTGAAAAAAAGTGTGAATAGTACTGAAATTGTTTTGAATTAGCGTAAAGTATACAAATATATATAGACTATTATATATATATCATATACTATATATGCAGTAATTTTCTTTACTAACAGTAACAAACTAATTAGTAGGTACTAGTTTTTGTCTTAGCTGAAATTTAAATGTAATAATAAGAAAGAAAAAATTATTGGATAATTAGAGATGATTGATTTTGTAATGAAAACAAACAGTATTGACATACTAATAATGTGTTTACTATTTAAAAAAATAAATAAATAAACACAAAAAAATGAATATAAAACATACGGAGGCGATAAAAAGAGAAAAATTTAATCAAACAACCGAGCCAAACTTGATTATTACGCGATTCATTATAAAAGTATTAATTACACATACTTAATTTCTTATCAATTTTTTTATTTCGTTTATTTATTTTAGTAACTACAATAATCTTAAGATAAAAGATGAAATTTTAAGAATGAAATGACATAACCACAATAGAATTTTACACTGATATTATCAGCTATAAATGTGATAATTAAACAAACATCCAAGCAGTACTTGTTTTACTTTTTTTTTTTGATCTTTTTATGTATTGATTAGTTGATAAAAATGGGCTGATAAAAAGTTTGCCATATTGAAAGAAGGGTTGTCGATTGTAAGTTCGAAGAGCAAATTCAAAAAATTAGACCTCCTTCTTTTCCTTCCACTTTTCTGAAGCCAGTTCAAATACCCCTGAAATATATTACAATTGCCATTATTTCAATTCTTTTTATCTCTACTATACTTGCCTACTTTTTCCTTGTCTACTTTTAGTAACTAACCTACCTTTGTTAAACTATTTTGCTACTCACATTTCAATCTGTTTAATAAATTGATAGCATTACTGACAAAAATGCTTTCAGTGACAAATAATTGTAATTATTTAATTTTGTTTATTACATTACTAAAAACAATTTTATACTTTGTATTATTAATTAATTTACCATCTATTAAATATTTATTAATTTGTAATCATTTATGCAACTTTTTTTTTAATGTTTATCAATTTGCATTTATGATAATTTATTTGCATTCAATCAGAAATTCACTCACTAAAAACTGATTACTGCTGCATCATATTGCATAGCATGTAAAAAAATAATAATAGTAATTCAAATGGCAGTAAAAATCATTTATATATTGTATTAATTGTTCAATTTAAATTAAATTTCATTTTATGTATTTCTAAGCATTTTTGTCTCAAAATTTTTAAATACACTCAAATAAGATGAAACGATTTAACATATTTTGCTGATTATTTCTTGTAATAAAATAAAATTTTTGAAATATGAAAAGATGATTTGATTAGAATACGAAATTCAATTTTTTGTTTGTATTTTCATTGATAGAAATTTTTTACATAACTGTTCACTACTTTTTAATCTGTTTTTCAAATAATTTCAAATGTGTCGGAAGCATAACAATTAAGTTTATAAATTTTGAAATATGCATAAGCATTTCAAAAGTTTTACTGACAACTTCTTGCCTGTTACACTTGTTTGAAAATTTTATTATCAACTGCTTCCATGTGTATTTATCCTATTATTTCAAGCACTGAAAGCATTATTGGTTTTTAAAACTTGAAATGTCACTTTATTAAATGCTTGAATGCAAGATATAACATGATTTTTATTTTTTTTAAAATAATGTACTGTTGAATTAATTCTTACATTTCATTACTGTTTGGTTTTTAAATAAAGAATTATGTATTCGAGTAATATGTAGAGCACCATTAACTACTGACAAAATTAAAAAGGGTATATCAAATGAAAGTATGGACAAATTTACTGTAATTAATTAAGAATTCTATAATTTGTTAGTTATTTCATTTTTAGAAGATGAATCAGAAAAGTAGTGATATGCGTCTGAAAATTGATGGTAAATGGCTACTTTTGACCAAAGATTTCCAGCAAAGGCATCCAGGAGGAAGTGTTATCACACAATATAGGTCCGTCTGCTTCATGTCTTAAACCAGTAAAGAATAATATAATTTTTTCCAAGCTATCAACCACTTAATTAAGATAAGATCACTTTCATAACCATTTTTAAGAATCTAATAATCATACAGATACATGAATTCATCTCATTCTGGTGTACTTTGAGTCCAAATATTTTAGTCGACTAGTGGCTTTCAAGAGTTATTTTAAAAGACACTGAAGTGAGTAAATTTTAAAAGACACTGAACTAAAGTAAAAAATGCTATAAAACATTTTGAGAAAATCTTCTTGACTTCTGCTTCCATCAAGAAATTTTAGAAATGCCGATGCAACGCAAATTTTTCACGCATTTCATGAAGGCAGTAAAATTGCATATAAACAATTAGATCTTTTGAAAAAACGAAATTGTATTGATACATTGGAAGAGATAAATGATAATATCGACGGTTAGCTGCATTTTCTGCTTATCGATTAATAATAAAGGTTGCTTAATTAATCAAAGAGTTGAACGCTGAGTCATGTATTGGTATAATTGGCCAGGAATGCATATTCATGTGATTTAGGTAACAACTGCGCCGATGAAATAAACGTATCATCTTATAATCTTCCAAAAACAAAGGTTATTTTGCTAGAAATAGTTGTTTGGTAATGTAGTGCAGATTGAGTACTCACTTAATGTTAATACAATTATTTTATATCCATTATGTATTCTTTTAGGAAAAGCAAATACTAGATAATTTTGCTACACTACGAGAAGAAATTATTTTTGAAAGACTGTTTGATGCGAACCCTCTTTATTATGTCTATAAGTCTTTTGAAGCATTTGGCCTATTATTGTTTGCCTTCATCTTACAGTACTATACATGGTAAGTATTACTTAATGTTATCAGATTTTTCATTTTTTGAAAATACAATAAAAACTGCTTTTCATTCACATAACTAATAATAGCTTGTTAACCTTGTTCTTAGGTATACAACATCAGCAATGGTGTTAGCATTATGTTGGCAGCAATTTGGTTGGTTAACTCATGATTTTTGCCATCAGCAACCATCTAAAAATCGCAAAAAAAATGATTTTTTATCACTAATTTATGGAAATATTGTGCAAGGATTCTCACGTAGTTGGTGGAAAGAAAAGCATAACACTCATCATGCTGTAACAAACATTGTCCGGCAGGTTATTACTTGGCATTTCTTAAAACATGCAGTTTCAGAATTGTTTTATTTGCATATTAGATAAGTTAAAGGATTTTCAGGATGGTGACATTGATCTAGCTCCTTTGCTTGCATTTGTTCGAGATGATCTTAAAAAATATCATTTTTTGAAACGAATCATTTCAAAGGTCAGTTTCTTGCAGCCACTTTTTTATTCAAATTTTTCTTGCCATTACAAATAATCAGTCATTAATAATTTTTCTTTTTTGCTACTTTTTCTTTGATCAGTTAGGAATGTTTCAGGTGATTCGTTATCAACATTTATATTTCACAATTATGCTACCTTTCTTACGTTTTTCATGGACAATACAGTCAGTAGCATTTGTATTATGTGCACCACAGAATCAGTATAAGCAACATGTCATTAACGCGTTTGCTGAACAGGTCAACTTCTACTTCTTCAAATAAAGTAGTAGGCTCATTGGATCAAAAAATGATTGAGACTAGAGTTGAAAAAATTGACTTGAAATTAAAAATTGAATTCATAAAATCAGGCGGGAAAAAAATCCGCTAATAAGTGACTTCTTAACGATAACCCACCATCTGAAGAACTGTATTTTCAAATGGTAATTTGTGTGACAAATTTTTTTCCTCTTATTATTTTCCATTTTAATTCTACATGAAATTCAGCTCGGCATAGCACTGCACTGGTCATGGGTCATTTTTCAACTTTGGCTTCTTCCAACAGCAGCTTTAAGGATTTTATATTTTATTATTAGTCAATTAGGCGCTGGTCTTCTTATTGCTCATGTTGTCACTTACAGTCATAACTCGGTTGCCAAATTTCCTTGTAGGTTCATTCAATGTATATGTAAAATAATTGTCCTAGGAATATTCACGTGTTATAAGAAATGAAACACAAAATGATTAGTAGATATTGTGGTAGGTAACAAATGACAATCAAAATGTGATCAGTTAAACAAAACAATGAAACATCATTTGTAGATTACAAGCATATGAAGCCAATGAAAAGCATAATTTTAAAATTCCGAAACTTCCTTAAAATGAGCAGATTAAGCCTGGATCACTAAAAAACATTGCTAATGCAACCCCATCTTATACTGAAACAATTATTATTCTTTTCCAGATCAAAGTCGTTTACTCAATAATTTCCCATGTCTTCATATTTTAACGACACGAAATATGCGACCATCTCCAATCATTGACTGGTTTTGGGGTGGTCTCAATTATCAGGTAATTCCCAAATGCTTTTGTTTACTGCCATTGCATGTTATTGAATTTATATTAATCATTAATATCAAAAAACAAAAAAAAAAACTTTGCAATTCATCCACTAAATCGTTACATTTGGAAAAAAAGACTAGAGTATTTTAGATTGAGCACCATTTATTTCCAACTGTACCACGTGCGAATTTATACCAAGTATCACTGAAAGTCAAAAAGTTCTGTGATGTGAATGGTCTTCCATATTTAGTGGATGACTACATGACAGGATACAAATTAATACTGCATCAACTAAAAAGTATGGCTGACTCAGTCAGCAAAATTACCTGTACGTAAGGTGATACTTTGAACAATCGCTAGAGAAAAAATTTCATTTATGTTTCCATGGAACATTTTCAAAGACACCAAAGTAATTTCACTCAAAGCACGAAAAAAAAAACATTTGTGCAACATTTGTATTTACAACTGCACATGATAAAATGTATAATGTAAAGAGTACACACCAGTCCACTTGCATTGCATTTTCATCACCACTTTTATTTACAAACATAACAATGAAATAACCATATCTGTTTAAGTTCAAAGTTGAAAACTGCTTGTTAATTACTTAAGCGTTACGTAAAAAATGTTGCGAAATCAATAATATCAATTACAGCTCCAATTTTTTCATTTATTCTGGCTGCAAAATATTTGAAATAAAGAAAATTGAATTTTCTTCCTTACTTCTTCAACAAGTTTGCAGTAAATCACATTAATTACTGCTACAAATTCGGAACGAAATCCGAACAAGTAACGAATAGTAAGAATAACTATCTTAGTAGAATAAAATTACTATCTCAATTATTTACAATTTCTCAGACTAGAGCAGGTAAGTCACAATCAATTTTGAATGTCCTGTACGAATCCATACATAACTTTCGATACGATGATGACGAAAATATTGAGCACAAAGAAAGTAAATTTGATTGTGCTTTGCTTCATTTACCAATTATAGTATACAAAAGAATGTAAAAGCCTGATCTGAAGAATAAATTCGAGTCCGAAAAAGCATGAAAAGTAATTTAAAAAAATTACGTAGACGAATAGTAAAATAAGTGCCAAAAACGAAGACACATAACTTTCAAGGGTATCAGTAAATGACACCATTCAAGATGAGCAAATGTTTTGTTTATTCATATTTATGATGGTAATAGGACAATAATATTTCTTAGGAAAAACAGGAAGTACTTCGAAAAATTTTTAGGAACAGCTGAAACAAGCCCTTAATCACTTGTAATCGATGGCATATATAAAAGTAATGTAAAACAGATACGAAGGTCGCATGAAATGTGAGTATAAGAAGTTATATTCTCATATTTACAAAGCAAAAGAAATCAAATCTTCAGAGTGGAATTAGTTTGTACTACATATATCTTATCGATGAGCTCGAAACGACATACTTTGATTACATGATGAATATTAGCAATATTAGACCAATCACAAGTAAAGTAAACTAGAAGTTATACAATATAACTGGTATGGTGAAACTAAGACCCATCGTAATGCCAATTTTGTTAAAATGTTTTATATTTTATGACTGACATAATTCAATGTTTAATCTCAAACTGCCATAGATCGTATGGATTATCAACGCTAAGAAGTGATACTAACATGGCTGCTATTCCAGGAAGTACGATTGCCGGCGTTGTTTTTCGTCGAAATACATGAATAATCAATGTGACCAATAAACCACTGACAACAGCGTAAAATGGAGGTAAAAATGCTCCTGCATCATACATTTCCGAAAACTTCAAAATGACATTCAAAAAAATACCTGAAAAATACCTGTACCAATCACATTTTTTACTAACCATTATATTCTAAATCCTTTCCGTATTAGTGAATATCGAATATATGATATAAATATTAAGTGTAAAAGCTTATCAGTTTCAGTCACTATCACAAAGTTATGCATCGAACATTGATATAATTGAATTACTGAAACTCTTTAAAACGTGCAAAAAACACCTAAAAATACTGTTAGACAAACCCATAATTCTGGGAAAATGTTCAAAAAAAAATTTCAACTTAAAAAACCGCAAATTACCAGGTACGATTATATCGACAACTGAAATCATTTCGAATTTGCCTTCATTTCCCCATGGAATAATAATCATAAGTGGAGGTCGAACTTGTCTCAACACAGTTGCTAAAATTTACGAATGAACGAAAAATTTAAAGAGTTTAAAGCAAATAAAATTTCTAACGACATATTAAGAAAACACATAATTATTACTTTATTTAAAAAAGAAAAACTAACAAAGGAGATCGATAGCACAAGTCCAAAATAAATCAAATAATACCATTCCAAACAAAAAGAGGAAGCCAGCATAATAACTTGCAGTCTACAAACGAGATCATCTTTTTATATATAAATAATTTTGAATTATCAAACATATTTTCAGCTGCTCTACTTTTTTATAAAATGTGACTTCTGTTCGGCAAATATTTATAATTTCTTCCACAAACTGCACTACTTGCATTATTTCATGATGTGAATAAATTTAAAATATACCTCACAGATCAAACCAAAATCGTTAATAAACAGTCTTTATAAGCACTTAGTTATCATTCATGAAAGTGAATTCTGACACTTATTTTCAATTTTAACATATATAGGCATCAAGTAATCAAACTTTACTTCAACACGAGAAACCACAACATAAGATGTAGTGATAACCAAAATATTATTGATAAACCATGTCCATTTAAATTGATGGTATAGTCCCAACGATATGGAGATGATCATTGCAATTAGTTTCATTCCAGGATGATAGTAGTAAAACAAGTAATCTAAATATTTGGAATTGTAAACCTGGCATAAAATAAATAAACTATAGACTTAGAATAACATAATGATTTAAGATTAAGCATACAAAAGACCTGAGACAACAAAAAGAGCGATCGTTCATGTTTATACACGCCATTAAGATAGAAATGTAATTTTATATCAATCGTAATTAATGAAGAAATAAAATACTCTTTTTAATTTACTACTTAATATAAGCAAAAAGAGTTCAACTCTGATAACTTTTATAACTCTTGATGATGAATTTACATTAAATGGCAAAGAAATATTAGCATGAACATCACTCTTCAAAATAATGGACATGAATTATTCTAATACTCACATAATTTGTTGCTGAATATTTCAACTAGCGTGATGTGCAAAGCAATAACACCGATCCAAATTGGTAGGTAGATGCTAATGAACTGAGCCACAATATCAATAAGAGAGTGCTTTGAAATGTTTTCAGTCGATGAATGAGTCATTTTCGAAAGTAATCCATTGAGCGAAAATGGTAAAACAGAGATCTAAAGTACTGCAACGCATTGCAATGAGGTTATAATCGGTAAAATTTGAAGGGACAATTAGTATCAATGATTTGTCCCATATTATTGCAAAAAAAAACCTTTCCAATTTCCTTGTATATCTGTGACCGTCTGCGTTCCATCGCTAGTTCATGATCATCTAATATTGAAGACTTTGGTGAAGCCAGTTTCCTGACAGCGAGACTGTCCAGAGAAACACCATCACGTACATCGTTCTCTGCCATCATTTCATTACATACTCCACCATCTAAACAAAAGAAAAGCTTAAGCATAAATTTTATATATTGGAATTACGAAAATTAAAGGAAGAACGGAAAGTGAAATTTTTAATCAATTCATAGAATTAACCGTGAGTAACTAATATTTGAATATAATATTTGCAGATAACTGATATTTGAGTACGCAAAATTATTTGCTAGTTAAAAGGAAGAATTTGCGGTCAAACTTTAATAACCTTTTATCAAGCGCCCTAAAACTTTTTTTACAAATTAAGTAAGGCTTTGTTTTGATTTTATATCATTCAGACTAGAAATACTATGGAAACCCATTCAATGCAACATAAAAAATGCTAATTTTGTGCATACCAAATGTTTTAACATAAAATCGAAAACATACTGCCTTTAACGGACGACTGTGAGATGGGAATTAATTCAGCAGGTGTAATTTTCTGCACTGCTGAAGACAGTGTACCTGATGCTCGAGACTAAAATCCATGAAAAAACTATTTTCAAACACAGAAAATATATTTAACTTGGTAAATAGTAATAAGCATTAAAAATAAATTGAAAAAAATCAAAACAATGCACTGAAAATGATTTTTTGTGAATTGAAACTTCTTTTTCATCAGCAGCATCCTTTCGCTTTGCACCGAAATATAAAATGACCACAATTACTGATAATACCAAAGGAATAATAAGTGCGCCAGTTTCTTCTAAGAATATCACTATTTCTGTATCACGCTAAAATAGATGAAATACAATGATCAGGTAATTTGATTTCCAAGCTAAACACTGAAACAATAACCATCATACTTTCTCATATAAAAACGAAAACAAAACCTCAAAGAAATAGATTGAATAAGATCGTCGACACCCAACATAGATAGTAGAGGCCGAAAACAAAATAATCGCATTCAGAGCTATGAACCTCGAGTAATCCATGCTTCTCCCAATCCGATCCTGAATGCTATACTGATTTAATTTCGTAATGTACCAGTTTTATACTCTTAACAGTTGTAGAACGATAAATTTGCATTGTGCTAAAAATTAAATTTTACTTGTATGCATTAGGGCGGAAAATCAATGATTTCAAGCCAAAAATGAATCATTCTGAAAAGGACAGTAACAAGTGAAATCATAAATCTGATTACAAAAATTTTTTAAAATGCACATCTTCATAAAGATTTGGTATGAACTCAATTTCGAATGAATGACTTAGTATGAACTCAGTTTGCAATAATGCTTACGAACTATCAGTAAGTTTGCAGTTTAGTACAAAATTTAAAACTAACAAATATATAACGGGTTTTAAATTTGAGTATTTTATATTTAATTAACAATTAATGAGATTTGTTTGGTGTTCTTAATATTTAATTCCAGCAATTAGTAATTAACAGATAAGAAGTAGAAAAATTGACAAAACTTAACGAAAAATGAAAAAAGGATTCAAATAAATACACTGCAAACATACATGCATCTTAGATGAGAACAAAAACTGAACAGTATTCAATGTCAATGTATTAAATGTTACAGAGATTAATTACACTTAAATCACTATTAAAACAATTGAATTTGATCTGTTTATATTATTGCTGTGATCACCAGGATGGCTGCTGCTTGCATCAGATTGTTACACTTACATGCACGCATTTCAAATCATCTACACAAATATATTTTTAACGAGAGATAAGCGGTAGTTATTGATTTTAGCGCTGAATGTAGAAACAACAGAAAATTGACGTCAGCACTTTGGTGAACTGCGAAATGTGTGTCATTGTAGAGTAGGTTCGCTTTTCATTGCAGGTGACGTATTTGAAAGTATTAATTCACTGCATAAACAAAGATGGAAGTTTGGTGCGCATACATTGCTGCATATTCATACTTGTATTGAAATGATACATTTTATATTTTGATGAGAATGTAATACAATCTAAAATCTTGTTGCCTAAGTTACAAAGATTTCAATGTAAAAGGAAGCTAAAAGCTTAACTTAGATAGATTAAGTGCAAACATGATTTTTAACGTGATTCTTGTAGGTATCAATCTTAAGACTGCAAGCATTTGAGCATTTGATAATCTTGTATATTCTCGCCAACAACTATAAACTGATAAAAATTTTATTTGCATATCACTTAAATAAATCCAGTGATATTATTTAAGCACAAATCGCTTTTACTTATAATTTTACTCACTTTAAAAAAAATCGGAGAAATGAGATAAATTAAAGTTGTTCCCTGCTGCTAAATTCTTCAGTTATGCGTCCATCATTTTATGATAACAAACCAAGAATCACCAAATGATCAAAGGAGCTGATCACATCAGTTTTATCATGTCATACTCTTTGCAACAGAAATATTTACCGAAAAATTCTAACCCATGCAATATCATAAATTTATAACAGTAGAAGTCAATTGTACTGTTTAAAGTTGCTGGTGTGATTCTTTCTAGCTAACTGCCCCTAAAGAAGCAATTATTTATTGCCTTTCTAAAGAAGCATATAATAAATTATTTGAAACAATTGGGATAGGTTTCGAATATGATGTTAGGAAACAGTCCAGTTGTTTATGGCATTTGAAAGTCAACTTTCATAAATCTTACGAGAATGTAAGCTCTGATTCAAATGCTCCTGCTGCTGCTACTGCTGCTGTTTCGATTCTTAAAAACCGATGCGACTTGAAAAAGATCTATTTGCCACTGCTAGTTGATAAATGCTTTGTGAAAACCAAAGCGATGGACTCGTACATGTTTACTTCTATGGATTTTTCGTATTCACTCTCAAATGACATAACTTCTCAGATTGCGAACATTAATCGATTGCAAGCAGTATGCATTCTGAAGACAAGCAAAGCATAGATTGCAGCATACAACAAATATGAGCATGGAAGCACTCAATATTATTTCTTTGTTATCTAGAGTTTGCCAAAATATCTAACTTATATTTTCATCTTACTTTTTCTTCTTTCTCTTTGCTGTCAATACGAATAATTGCCAATCTAAATCCACCTAGACTAAGATAGTCAAAAAATTAATTAAAAAGTAAACTGCTCATCTTTTATCATACATTCTTCCATCAGAGTTCGATTACTACAATAATGTACTCTAAATTATTGCATCACTTCTACTAATACACAGCTCATGACTGTAATGTAAGGACCAGTGAGATAAAACAGTAATTTCTAATATGGAACAAACTTTGATTTTATTGTCGTAATTTGTCTTTAAAAAGTATTTCTTTATTCATTAGTCACTCGTCTTATAAGTAATGCTTACTGTTCTCTCAAACTACTAGAAACATTTTAAATGCACCATTTTCTCTCCTTTCATACTACTTGAATTCAAACTACACTTGAACCAAATTTTCCGCCAGCATTTGACGCCAATTCCATGTAAAATAATTGAATTCTCAACTTGAATAGAATGCAATGATCCTACATGTTCACCATATTCGCAATCTAATTCTGAGCCTTACCCAAACTTAAATGTAACAAGAGACGATGCTTCCGCTGCGCATTTGTTTTCCTTTTGTAATTTACAGTGTGTCTACCGCCTCGTCATAGATGTCTGTACTCTCTCTAGATTAGTTTTATTTTTCGGTAGCCTACCTACCCTCTTATAAATATATAATTAAATAAAATGAATAAATACAAATGAGTAAATATATATATATTGTATATCAATGGCTCATCAAATACTCAGTGAGGAAACGTAACTACTTTACTGTTTTCAATATTTTATTTTTCTCTTTGTTATTACTTATAATAAAAAATGCATTAATTTCAATGGAAAGTAATTATTCGACTAATTACTTAATACTAAGGTAGTATATATTTAGAGTTTCAAGCTCATTAAAAAATTAACAAACAGCGTGTAGATTAAAATTGAGTATCAATTTTGCTAATGTGTTACAGGTTATTGTAAGTGTGCTGCAGAAATCAGTCTAATAGTAAAAGTATTTCAGAAGGAGCAACTGTCATTTTCTGGTGCAACTTAGAAATCTTTATAGATTTCTACTAATGATTAAGCAAAATGAATTCCTGGAATCAGTAGAATGTAATATTGTCTAAAGTTGTTATACTGTGTTTATTTTACTGCACAGGAATTAATTGTTGGTTGTGTTAATTTTTCTGTTTCTTTTGAAATCGTTCATTATGTCGCACCGATCTGCCATTAGAATCGCTTATCGTGATGTTTCGACAGAACCATACAGTGTTATTGTAGATTCTCAAAGGACAGGCAAAATTTTGTTGTTCCAGTCTTCGGCAGTCACGACTATCTGTACTTGCTTTTAGATAATCAATTTTTTCTTTTTTTCACATTTATAAAAAATATTGTTTCTAGTAAATATCTTTCAGTTTAAATATCATTATTTTTATTGCTTTACATTTTTTTCGGACCAGATCTTTCAAAATTTTCTAGTTGTGGTTGGTTATAAAAAAACAGAGGAAATTTTTCAATCTCGTACAACCATTTGCAGCTGATAGGGAATCAGTGTCAGCACTAAGAAAAAACCATGCAAAACTTATGGACGCCAGAGGTCTGGTCGGTGTGTTACGATCAGGCCAAGGTTTCTTAGTTTTTCGCATAAATAATTTGATAAGTCCAGACATGATGTGATGGTCCTAGGATTGATAGGAGAGGTATTAATAATTTTACAGCTGTATAATTCGCCAACCGAAATTTTCATAAATTAAGGATTGAATTTCAGATGATGCGTACTTGATAGCAGTCACCGAGGATGAAAATGTTGGCGAATTACGCAGCTGTAAAATTTATCGTATTTGGAGTGTTAACGTAATATCTCTGAAAGTAACGACTCCAGTAAACTCAACCGATACTAAAATTAACGATGTAAATCTAGAAAGCATTTAAAGTTTTATTACAGGTTTCATTCATGATTATAATTCAAAGAACTTCAGTAAAGGAGTTTTCAAGTTGGAGTAGGATTTTATATAGTTTAACATTTCGATTGCTCGGAAAACAAATATTGATTCTTTTTTTACGTTTCAAAATTGCTTTATAAAATAATATTGTGGTACTTCCAACTCTTCAATCTCTTCTTTATAGTTATTGCGCTTGTTTTCGTCTGGCAATTTCTATTATGCTTCACAAGATGATTCAAGCCGATTTGTCGATTTAACTATCAGATCCCATAAGTCTATAAATTCTTTGGATGGAGACAGTCGATTTTTCTGGCTAGTATTTCATTAGTTGATATTAACTTAATATACTTTTAATATACGAAAAGTATATTAAGAATACTAGAATATACGAAAAGTATATTAAGAATACTAAAATTTTATACTGGTTAACATTAAAACGAAAAATCAATTTCATTTGCAAGAATTTTATACTGGTTAACATTAAAACGAAAAATCAATTTCATTTGCAACTTGCAAATGAAATTGATTTTTCGTTTTAATGTTAACCAGTATAAAATTTGATTGCAGAAAAAATTTACAGGAATAAACACCTTCATTTTCCTTTAAAACGATATGGGGTTGATGCTAATGAGTGGCTGTTGCGCATTATTTGTGGAGCAGTTGTTATCTGTCAAGTGTACGTAGGACAAGTGCGTGCTACAGTAGCGTTGATTTCACGTTTAAGCTGTGAAAGAGTTGGAACACGTTTCAACGTGCGGGGCGTAAATGACGATGGTCATGTTGCAAATTTTGTAGAAACTGAACAGGTAATTCAATTAATTTCAACTATTTCAGATCTTCGAGGCAACATTTATCTCAATTTATATTATACTAATAATCTTAATGAAACTTACTGTTTCTTTTCACAGATTATAGCACTGGGTCCCGATGAAACTTCATTTGTACAAATAAGAGGTTCTGTTCCTCTTTTCTGGGAGCAACCGGGCATCAATGTTGGTTCACACAAAGTGAAGTTAAGAGCTTTTGAAGCTTCATCCCCAGCATTTATAAGGTTTTATTGAAAATGACTTCTTTGATTTGAGTACTGGAGGCATCATATATCATTTTATCTTAATAACGCTCTAAAATTTTTGTAAAACTTTTAGAATGCTTTAGTTTTAAAAGTTTGTTTTTTAGGCATTTTCGTTTTTTAAAAGATGAGTATGGTGAGATAACAATAGTAAACCTTCTTGGTTCTAAAGAAGGTGAAATTTTGTTGTCCAGAGCATATGAGGTTTGTTTTACTGCTCATCTCTGTTTGTGAATGGTTATGGATGTTTATGGGTGTTTTCTTAAAATCTCATTTAGAAAAAATTCTAAAAGTTCTACTTAAAAAGGTGTTTCTAATTTCACTGTAATGAGCTTAACTTTGGAGGTTCTTCATTAAATTTCAAAATTATACATTTGATCAGACTTATAGAGTTAATTATGTATTCAGTATTGCAAGAAGAACTTTTCTTATAACTGATTCCAAATATTATATTTTGTTTTGTGTTAGGCTAATTTTCTTATTTCTAGGCACACTACAAAAATTCGAATTGTTGCACCGACTATATAACATTTGATTATCATGAAGAGAAACGAAATTGTTGGAAATTATTGGAAAGATTAAATTCAACAATTACGAAATGTATGTTTTATCAGCAACGGAACGGGAATGCTGTTGTGTGGTTTGTTTTCTTTGTTCGTAATTGGTTACTGTTTATTTTTAATTTAGTCGTAGAATTTGTGTGCCTTTCATGTATCTCGTAAGTATTATGAAGGTCATATATGTCAGAGTCATCAAATTCTTCCTCATACTGTGATAGTACAGCAGCAGCTATTTCTGCTCTTGTGAATAATACTATTCAATCCTTAATTCCTTCTAGAATTTGGTACTTATGGTACTTGCCTAACTTTTTTTGCTATTCCAGTTTTATTTATGTAAATATCTTTGGAGTCTGATTTAAAGTAAGGGATTCCACTTTTAAATTCATTGGCTTACAGCAACCAGATTGGAGCTATTCGTGTTAATTGTCTTGACTGTTTGGATAGAACTAATGCGGTACAGACCCTTATTGGACTTCAGGTATTTCCATATTTCTTTTCCTCCATTACTTATATGTTTTAGGTAATTTTTGATACTTTACAGTAGAAATTATTTCAGGTTTTAATTTCACAGTTAAAAAATCTGGGTGTTGATAAAAAATATTTTTCACGATTCGAAGAGCGTTTGAAGGAGATATGGCAACGTAATGGTGACTCCTGCAGTGTGATCTATGCTGGAACTGGTGCATTGGAAGGAAAGAGTAAAGTAACGTTTATGCTGAGACACCAGACTCGTTCACAATGCGATATGGATTTCCTTTATACTAACAAAACAAATTCTTTTTAGAAATTGTGACCACTGTAATACTTCCATTCACAGATGAAAGATGCGCGAAGAACACTAGTGCGTACAATTCAGAACAATTTTTTGGATGCAGCTAAGCAAGAAGCGTTTGAATTTCTTCTCAATGAATCATCTGTCTATGACCCTCTTTATAGCGAATTAACTTCTATGGTGCCCCGTCATATTCTTCAAGGTAAGTTGGTTGCAACATAAAGAATTATTCTGATATAACATGACAACGATAAAGTTTTGAAACATATACAGATAAATTCTCAGTCTCGGATTAATTATCCCAACATCTTTTGTCGATTATTAGAATATACAAAATGAACACAAATTTTTTAAGCAGTCTAAAGTATGATTTTTTCAGAAAATCTTTGTTTGGCTGGTAAGTTTGTGTGATCACTATTAGTTTATTTCTGCTGTAGTCATGAATTTAGTTTCGAATTATGAAGCACTGTCTAAAAAATAGTAATTGCATGGCTAACACAGTCTTTCATGCATCATATTTATGATTGGTTTCGAGTGTTTTGTTGCATATTTGTTGAAGTGCTCCATGCTTTTTGCTTGTTACCGCGCTTTTTAATAATAAATAGGTTTACGTAAAATTTGTGTTTAAATGGATATTTCAGAATGTCCATTAATTGTAAAAGATCTCATGAAACGGAAAGAGGAGATGATTGACATGGTCCCTTTAATATTATGGGCGGGAACCTGGAATGTTAATGGCGGGAAAAATTTTTCTGATACTTCTTTTCGTAATCAAACAAATTTGGCGGAGTGGTTATTCCCAGAAAAGTTTTTTGGTAAGCGTATATGTAATTACTTAAAAAAAATGCATCATTTCGCTTGTAATTTTTGAATAGTAGCTTATAGTACTTGTGTAAATCTATTTATATTTGTAATATTCTAAATCAGAGTATATAATTTCATCGGTTCTATTAAGAATTTGTGATAGTTCTTTTTTAAGTCTTTCTCTAAAATTAAAGGTGACACACTTGGAGAAAACATCGCACTTCCGGACATATACGTGGTTGGTTTGGAGGAGATTATAGACCTAAATGCTACGAACATTGTCAATGCTAGGTGAACTGTTTGTTTGGTGTTGTGGAAAATAAGAATTCAGTTCTTCGCTCTCCTACTTGCGATTTTTGATACATATAATATTCTGATCTTATTTTGCAAAGAGTTGTGCAAACAAATATTCCCATTTATGCAAAGTTTTACTGAAATTTTATTTCAGTACCACAAATCAGCGAGCATGGGCTCGTGGTTTACGGGAAACATTGCTAAAGCGAAATAAATACGTACTCTTAGGATGTGAACAGCTTGTTGGTGTTTGTGTTTTTGTATTTATCAGGCCGTCGCTTGCTGCAGCAATACGCGATATGTCAATAAGTAGTGTTAAAACAGGTTTTCCGATTTTCATACTTCTCAGACTTTTGTGAGTTTGGTTCCAGTCAAAATTTGTCATGGTTTCTTTTTTTGGGTGTTTTAATTGCTACTTTAGTTAATTATGGACTGCAATGATTCTGAAAATTTTAGTTAAATATTTTTCTATAAAATCTGCATTCTGGATTTTAATGATGACAGGAATGGGTGGAACAACCGGGAATAAAGGTTCAATTGCTGTGAGTCTTACCATATATTCCACTACATTTTGTTTTGTTTGCTCACATTTGGCAGCTGGTCAAAATGAAGTTCGTGATCGTAATGAGGATTATATGAGTGCGTTGAAGAAAATAAGATTTCCTCAGGTGATTGGTTTTATAAAATTCCATATTTTGACTCTTTTTTGAATATAATCCGTGCAAGTATGGCATGGAAGACAAGAATACTGAAACTTCCGTAACATATTGCAGGAGTTACGAGCTCATTTTATGTGAAAATCACTGCAGCATTGAGTACTTGTCACTATGATTGCTGAGTGAACGCTTACGACATAAAAATATTCTGCTTTTAATTCTACTAATCATTATGGCGTTCTGTTTCTTATCTGTTATCAGACTTCTTAAAATATCCATTATTCTTCATACATCATCAGTAATTTATTATGCGTTTTCTCTAATTCGTAAATATTTAGGGTCGCAGTATTCTGTCGCATGTTGTTGTGTTTTGGATGGGTGATTTTAATTATCGAATAAACTTGTCTCGCGATGAAGCTGAAGCAGCAATAAAAACAGGGAATATGATGGAACTTTTTCGTTACGATCAACTTTCTCAGCAAAAAGCTCTGGGTGAAGTGCGATCTGCTGTTAATTTGTTTAAAATTTAGTCAACTTTCATTTTTTTTAAATCATAATTTTGCAAATAATATGTTCTTAAAATTTATTTCTTCTAGGTCTTCAAAAATTTCAAAGAAGGTCCTTTGATTTTCGCTCCCACCTACAAGTATGATACATTGAGTGATGAATATGACTCGTCAGAAAAATGTCGCATTCCTGCTTGGACTGATCGAATTCTTTGGAAGGAAGCAGATGACTCGAAGGTTGTACGACTGTTAGGGTAATCTTGTTAAATATTCATGCAATTTTCGTCCTCAGAAATGTTTTTTATGCATTAGAATTCTGAATAACTTGCATAATAAGTTTAAAATCTTATTTTTTGAAGTTATGACCGAATAGAGCTAAGAACTTCTGACCATCGACCGGTTTGCGCTCTATTTCTTGTCGATGCGTATAAAATCAACCTCACTCAATTTGGTTTGGTTTTCAAAGATGTGCTTAGGTAATTGTTTGTTTCAAATTTAGCATATTATTTCTTGAAAATTCAAGAATTTGCCAGACTGTTAATTTTACTCAATATTTGATTTCTTTCTTTGTTCGTAAAGCAGCTTTTGAAATTTATCGTTATTGTGAGCAAAGTTTAAAAGTAGTTTTAATTATTTACAGCTCGATGGGGCCTCCAGATGCTACCGTGTTGGTATCTGTATGTGGCTGTGAAAATTTTCCAGCTGAGTTTCGTGTATCTGTGATTGAAAAACTTGACCAACTTGGAATTTCTCCGTCTATTAGCAAGTCTCTGCTTTTGTCTTTTTTGTAGTGTCAGAGATTTTATTAATAATTAAGATGAAATTTTTCGATTCGCTTCATAATTAAATCGACGTTAATAGGATCGAGTCTGGTATGCTGTGGTTAATTTTCAACAGTTGTGATATGGCTTTAGCAGCATTAAGTTTGGATGGGGTGAAGATTGGAAATCATTCGCTTACAGTTCAGCTCCTGTCTCCAGATTGGGCTGAAGTGGAGTATGCTGAATTGATTAAAATGTTACGAAATGTGAAAGAAGACATTAGTGTTGAATTCATCGAGTTCAGAAATGCAGATAACTTCGAAATTAGTGGTAATTTAAAAAATTAAACGCATTCATTGACTATGTTCTGATTTCTCAGCGGGTTTTGAACTTCAAATAATTGTATTTTTGTGAATTAAATGGTAACTTTCTTGAAAATGGAGACTACTAAAACGAAACTAACTTTTCAGATGGAGATGACGTACTGATAAAAAATGAATCTGATGTTCATCAATTACCGAAGCAAAGGTCAGCTTCATTAAATCGGCGTGATAAAGATCTCACGCTACCAAGTCTGCCAAATGCAACCTTTACGTCAGTTTCATCACCTTTACCAAATGATAATCAAATTTATGGACCACTGAATGATATTATGCTTATTAATTCGATATCTCCAGCATTACCAAGAGTGCGACAGCTCCCACGGTCTGAAGAATTCAATCTTATGTGTATTCCACCACCCATACCACCACGAAAGGATTCTGTGAGGAAATAACCTCGCTATTTCATTTTATCATTTGTAGATTCTATGGTAATAATTATAGATGTCTGTCTTGTTTCTTTAATTTGTCAATTTATCAATTGACAAAACAGGCAGTAACTCTCTTGTGATCTAGGAGTAGAAAAAAAGTTTGGATTAGTAGTGCACACAATTTTACCGGTGTCATGATTATGAGGTATGAAAAGTTTCGAAACATGTCATTTATCCGGTTATTGTTATGCTTCGTAAATTCATAATTATTATTGCTTTACTTTTGTGACTCTCATGTTGTGTAAGAATTTTCTTTATTTGTTTAAGTTAATGATCTGCAGTGTTTTGTGAACTCTATTCAAGTTTATAAGAATCAGAAAATGCATTTGGAGTATTCATTAAAATTCTGTGGTAAAAATGGTTTCTATCAATGCTGTATCATCCGGGGCTTATTGTTACTACCCTTCTCTTACTGTAGGGTCTACATTTGGATAGAAAAGCTCCAAGACATAGTTGCATAAACTGACAACTTTGAATTCTGTAGAGTATCGGAAAATTTGACACATTATTTCTGTATCTGTTTAATGCTTTCATTTATCGAGGACATCAGTTTCGCATAGTCAAAATAAATCAGTTTGTTATGTGAGTATATACTTTTTAAATTATTTATCAGTACGGTAGAAGACGTATCAGTCTTTCTGTAGATGGGGAGAAATGCGTATTATTAACAAAGCTTTCGAAACTGATGAGTAGACTTCAGTTTGTACCTTGGGTTCTTAATTTATCTGTGGAAAATTCTCCCAACTTCTGGTTGCCGTGATTTATTGTGGATGTCTAAAGTCCAATATTTACGATATGCAAAACAAGAGCTGGTTTGTTTATCGAATTTCTCCAACAACAATTTTTGATGTTCTGGATTGATTGAAAGTTTGGGACTGAAGATGCGCGAAAATGGCAAAAACCAAGCACCAATGTCAGCAAATAATGAAAGCAAAACTAAATTAAGGGTGTTTGCAACTCCTATTTTTTAGATGCATGATTTAGTATAAATACTAACGGCGTATTAAGTTAATCGTTTGCACGTAAAATTCTTTCCCAAACATATTCGGAAAATAATGTGCTTTCTTTTTGACTTTTTTGCCTTCTTGAATTTTCTGCACTATATTCTCTCTACAACATTCTGAAGACATGTACAAATGACTTTTTGAAATGGTTAGATCTCATTCAGGGTCAAACTTCTGATCAAAATAATTGTAAATGAATACCATTATATTAATGAATAAACCAATAATAATTTATCAATATATGCTCAATCTGATTAAAATCAATACTACCGTCTTCATATACTTCTGGATTACAAGACAAGACCTGCTGTCAAGTGATTTTGAAGTTTTAAAGTGATCTTCAAAGTTTCGAAATATATTTGTACATACATTAGTGATGTACAAATATGTGAGGCTGAATTTGTTTTATCTATCTTGCATACTTTTTCGAGAAGATATCAATCAATATATTCAAAGCCTGATGAAATTAGATCACTTCATTTATATTTATGCATTTATGTCATATTTCTACATAAATTTATAAATATATACATGTATTTAGGGCACGTGCAAGTGCTGACGTTGTTGGTTTACGAGCATGAGAGTTCTGTATTTGTAAATGCATAGTTTGACTAGCTTTTCATATGTACAATCCGTGAATCTGTGTAAAGAAATACATTTTTTATTCTAGCGTTAGTTAATCTGTACATGAGAGTGCATGCTAAGACATACACCAACATTAAGATGTATTTGTATATATTCGTAAATATATATTACAAAATCAATAAATATTACAAAAATGATAAATCAAAATAGAAGTAATGAATTATTCTGTTTATAAAATATAACAGTATGAGATTTGGTCATCACTTTGGTTTATTGTATGGAATCGAGCATTTGCTTCAGACTGTCATTATAATCAGTCAATCATCAATTTCCATCTTGATCACACCACACAATTCCAGTACATCTTTACAACTGTATATTTTACACAATAATTTGTATGATAGATACTTCTGACAAACACTTCAAAAAGAAAAAAAAAGAGCATTTGACATATGTTTATATCATTTATCATTCCAATAAGCTTGTCAATGGTTTAACATTTAAATATAATCAACATATTTTATGCAGTTTTTTATATCAAATTAATGAGTGAAATGCAAGATTGGATTAATATACAATAATTAACTTGTTCCCTTAACATATACTAAGAGATTTTACACTTAAATTGTAATCAAACAACGGAAACAAACGCAGAGTTGTCTGAAAATGGTATTGAGAATATTAATGACACTTACAAAAACCATTTAATACTGCAGGTGAAACGCTGGATGAAAGAATCGCAAAATTACGCTACTTTCGGTACTTTGTTACAATGTGCTTCATGAATAAAAAACAGAAGGATATTTCGGTGTCAAAGGAATGATATGAAATTATCTCTTACATACCTAAATTTTCCTAGAAAAAGATCAGTTTATAGCCAAGATTTTACAACTCTGGCCACTTAAGAGGTTGCATCTGCTAAATTAATTTTTGTTATTAGGATCCGATTCCAAATAATGTTTATATCAGCTACCACCAATAATACAAAAGTTAGTTTTCGACGTGTGTGTTCGAATAAGAAATTCCTTTCAGACAACTGTTTTATATAGCAGGCATTTTATTGAATCTATTCTCTACAACATATGTGTATTGTATATTACAGAAAGCACGGTGTAACTGTTCTCATCCATATGCGGAATCAAAAACTGTTTTAAAATGTTTCCTTGCATGAACCAATAAAATATACAAAACACAAAAGAGTATTTCTTTAGTAGAAAAAATATATATATTACTCCGAATTCTTAGAAAAGTATTTGATTTCTGCAATTGAAAACAAAAACTGAGTTGCAATTAAATAACTTCTTTAACGTGAAGTTTTTCACACTGTAATATACAATGCCTAGACTTTATACGAGATGATATAAACAGCAATTAATACTGTTCGAAGCTTAACTAAAACTTTAATAAGTGAACTTTATGCTATAAACGACAGAATAATTAAATTTAAAATAAAGTATAAACCAATAGTAAATGATAGAAAAAAAAAAGTTTGTTTCAGTAGATAGTTCTTGCAGCAAATGCTCAAATATAGAAACACTTATATTACATTAGAAAGTAGGAAAATAAGAAGCAAATCTACCTTAAATTAAAAAGAAACATTTATTATTAAGTTGATAAGCTGGAAAAGATTACTAAAATTGAACTGTAATTATTTTGTAGAGGAGAAAATTAGATGAAAATGATGCCAAAAATAATACTTATTGGTCTCGTAGCGACAAGTAAATAATGCTCGGAATGAACTAAGAACTACACGTGAGTTTCTAGAATCTTTATCAGCTTTTATTGGACTTCACCGTCACCTTCACCTCATCTCTTTCTTCCATGTCTTTAAAGAAATTGCGTTATGAAGAGAGAGTATTCTCAACAGCTTTGAAAATTAGATATGAGACAAAGAAAACAAAAAGAATAATTAAGAAACTCTTAACATCCACATTATGCATCTTACGTTCTACTGCAATTCAAAGCAATATTTAAATAATATATCCCTTCTTGACTTCAATAAAGAGAAAGAATCACTTAGTATACTTCATGTTTCTTCATAATAATTAACTTCTATTTAGGAACAGTTTAGTACTGAGAAGAGCGGTTCGTTTACCAATTAGTATGCATAACGTGTCATTCTAGCTGCAGCAGCCTTTATCTCCTTTATTTTTAGTAAAAATTAAGGAAATACCATGAAAAATTCTTATTTAAAAATTTTCCTTACTACAATTTTTACTATTTTCATTTGTAATTATTGTTACTGAAGCAGACTTTCTGTTCATAATTGCATTATTTTGTCTGCAAAAAATATTTCAATGAAAATGTAGTGAAGAATATAAGACGGAACTGCCTGCTAATTGATACAAATGGTAGTAATGCGTTTATTTTCAGGAGATTTCAAGAAATTTTTGATCAACTGATGATGTATTAGTGTTCAAAATTCTACAGCTACTAAAATAAGCATATTTGACATTTTATTATGGCAAACATAAGTCGTAAAGTTGAATTAATTTTCAAATAACTTACAAACTTTGCTTGACTGATATGTATTTAGTATTCCCTAGATCATTTAAACTTTGCACAAAATCATTTACTTCATATTAAATCACAGCCGTGTAAACTGTAACAATGAAAGATAGCATGTTTTCCGCCTCTGCAATATTTTTTTTGTTAGTGATTTATTTTCTAATAACACACTCTGCAATTTTAGTGATGAACGTACTGAGATTTAATGTGTATAACTCGAAAATGATTTATATTATTGCGAATAGCAATTGAATCGTTTTTTACTTCAAAGATCATCAAATAAGTGAAACTCTAAGTAATCCTTATATTTCTGTTATCAAATGTGAGCAGATTTTGTCAACTTAAATCCCGAAAATACATATATCGTAACTAGCAATTATCTTCAATAAATACAAGTATAAAAAGTAAAAAGTTCTCCTACTAAAGACCAACTAAAATTTTGTATGCCAGTTTTTTCTTTGATAAGTTCAAATTTTTGCGAATGGTTGAGTTCGAAAGAACAGGAAAACCGAAAAAATAGTTTGCTTCATTTGCTCAAGACTTCAAGTGAAGAAGACTTGCAAAATTTTTTTGATCAGCTAAAACTGATCAGAATGAATCTAACCAGGTTGTTTTGTTCGCATATTTTAAGTGGGGTCGATAACAGTTACTATGACAATGCCAATGAAAGCCAGTCGTCTGGAGTGCTGACAGTGTTATCACATAATGTCCAGAAAAGAATGAACGCCGCCTTCTCTTAACATCCATTTTATAACTGATAATCAAGAAACTGTTTTCTCAATTGAAAACTTCCAATGCACTTAATACCAGAATCACATCAGTAATGACGGTAAACGTCGAGCTTTCAGTAGAAAGTAAACTAGTATTTGCAGAATCAAACTATATTTTATGTACGTATATCCCTGTATGATCATAGAATTTAAGTACAATGGAATTACTCCACGTAACCTGACAAGAAAATTAGTTTTAAATTGGTATTTCTGCAGGCAGTTTGACACGTCACCAACCATTGACAATGTAGGCACTGCACACACCAGTGGGGAATTCATTAACAGAAAAACAATGATGGATGAGAAGGCATGCAGGAAACAGTGCTGTGATTCCCGGAATGCTTCCATTAGCTAAAAATACGGACTGTACGGTGGTTTGAAATCTGTCCCTAATATGGTATGTATCACGTTGGAGCAGTACAGACTGCAACAACACAAAATGAGCCTAGGAGTAGCACTTCTAGTTATGTGCTGCAAATGAAAATTGTCCTTTTACTTGTGAGTAATGTCGTCAGAAAATAATTTAAAACATTCATTGCATCATTTTACTTTTGTATTTCTATGCTTTGATAAGAATTTTACCATTGAGTATCATCTAACCTCCATCTTGTTCTGTAAATTGAAATAAACGGTCATTGCTACTTTTGTCACAATAAAAAATTTACTTTTTATTAAGTCAATAAGAATCCCGTGTAACTGCAAAACAAAATATGCTACGTACAGAATTTTAAAATAATACTGCAAATGTCATATAATAAACGTTGATTTGCCCTTTGGTACGAAATTTTACCATTGTAATCTTCTTGCACAGTACACGTATTCCCGTAATAGGAGACGTACGTGCAATCAAACTGAACGACTAATCGTATGTTCGTTCCATCTAACTACTACACATACAGACAGACATACATACACAGACGCGTACATGTGTCACACATACATAAACAACATAAAAATGATGTATTGATTTAACGCAATAGTGAGGAAATAAAATAAACTAATAAAAATCAAAGAAAGTAAAGAGAGACAGGAAAGAAAAGAAAATTGGAAAAGTAAATGAAAAAGTGTTAATGTCAGAGCTGTAGAGGAAGTGAAAGGGAAATGATGATGTAGCGTTAACATCGATAAGAATGACTAGACAAGCAGACAACCAGGGAGACAAGACAAAGAGAGGAATAGACAACACTGGACATTAATTTTTCCATATCAAAGTGGAGGGATCTTACTTTTTTATATTATTTTAGGGATTGGCATCGAGTTGCCACTTTTTTTCTTTTTTAAAATCTTGTTTTAGCATAAATAAAAAATGAATGCTAATTTTGCTTGTGTTTTTCTTTTATTTTTACATTTACTTTTGTTTGTGCAATGACAAACTGTAAAATACGTATAATACGGAATTTCACTTGACGTACTGTTTACTGACCAGTGAGTATTCAGTATGAAACATTTAAAAGAAAACGCAACAATATCTGTGTTAATTATAAGAGAAGCACAAACAATAGTATTATTGCGTTTTAAATTATGCTTAGTATTGTAATTTATTGCACATACTTACATATATGAAAGCAAGCGTAGAACGTCATAAAGTTACGGATTAAAACGAAAGATTTTCATTCCGTCATAGCTTACTTATGAGTAAGCTAGAAAGCTTCACTTTTAAGTTTTAACTTGAACTTGTAGCATTAAGTTTGTATGCAAAAAACAACGACATGGGATTATTTAAATAATGCAAGCAGTTCATAAACATGGCCAGTAACAAATAGTGTATAATGCTAGTCGCGTGGTTCTTTATTGTTCAGTTCATATAAGCAACTTCTGCTCTATTCTGCTTGTCGTTGGCGCGTTTTGTAATTTACTAGAATTTATTTTTTTTAAACAAACAAAATATAACACACTTATCATAAATTGTTGTTTATTCCTTATATTTGATTCTTTCTTTGATATCTACTCTTTAATCAAACTACTATTGTTTCATCTCTGTAAACTTTTACTTTTAATTAATTTCAGCAGCAATGTCTCATTTTTAGTAGCATTCAAAGATTTAGATGATAGAAATAATCTAACTCATCATATGTTAGCTTTTTCAGATATTCTTCTGAATATTTGAGTATCATTTTTGCTACTAATTTTGCTTATTATACAAATTTATAATTTTTGACTTAGTATGAATAGTTTGCTACTTGGTGAAACTAATCGTGCAGTGTTATTATTTAACCTTTAATGTCTTTTATGTCTTAGAGTACAGCAGAGAATGAATTTGCCAAGCTACCTCAAAATTCATTGCGAATGTGAAAGAATGCGCGAGTTATATTTCTACATTCAAAACTTAGGAAGAGACAAGTGAGCCAATCAGCAAACTATTAATTCTGCAGGGTATAAGAATTTTTTGAGCGGATTCTGCTCTTTTAATTTCCTGAATGCTGTGGTTACTTTTCGACTGTTCACAGAAGTGCGTATGAATGGAGCAACAGAACACTCACCCGCTTCTTCCCCCTGCTTTTACTGGTCAATCGTTTGCATCCACTTTTCCAGGTATTTTTTTTTTATTTTTTTATATCTATAAAATAGCTCAGTAAAACGTGCATTAATACAAGTATGCGCATAAAAAGTTCAACTTTGACCATTACATTAATATGTAGTTTCTCGTTTTGTTTACACTATTTTGCTAACTTGCTTCATTGCATAATGCTTCATGCTTACTTCGTTGCATGTTTTCATCTAAATTTTATTTTTTTCTGCATACTTGCTATATATCTGTCTAGCAGATGATTTCGTTAACTGTTTTCACCTATATATTATTGAAATGATGGGTAGTAATCAGATGGCCTATATAATTTAGTGCTTTTTAGATTTTTCTAATTATATTTCTATGTACTTCAGGTGCTGGAACTGTCAGTAATCCGTTGTTAGCATCTACTCTTCATCATCTTCAGGAACTCTCAGTTGTTCAGGGTGCAACTGGATTGCTACCAAACAGTTCACAACTTACTTTAAGTAATCAATTTGCCACAGAATTCAACAATATAGCAGCAGTAAGTTGGCCAACTCCTCCAAATGCAAATTCTGCTTGGTTTGAACAGGTTTCCTTTTCATATTTTAGAAAATTACACCAATAATTGAGAATATAACATTTATGACGTGTCCTTTGTATTTATTAAATAAATGAATTTTAATTGATAGATCAAGTACAAGTAAATTTTTGTTGAGATTTTTGTCTAAAAGTTTGCAGTTTGATAAATTTCTGTCTTTTATAGGCAAAAGTTGCTGCCATGTTACCTATGTATACGGTTTTCTCAGCTGGAGGTTTGAAACCCAAGTATGTTTGGATAAGTACTAACATATTCATTGACACTTGCAAAATAGTTTGTCTGGGATATAGTTTTAAAGTTTTTGAAAGCCAAATGTCTGAAGACATTTTATTCCTGAATAAAATCAGCTCATTCTTGTTTGCTAAAATCTTTTTTTGCCTTTTCTCGCATTCCATTATACGTTTCTCGAATGAGTAAACAAATTATTTATTGACTGAATTGAACTTTTGTTTGTTTATTGTAGTGAAACATCAGCTTTTGATCGGAGACAGGTTGGTCGACTTGTTCAGAAAGAAGTAACTAATAGTGTCATTTCATCTCCGTCGCTACCAAAACATACAGGTTATTATGTCATATCTGGACTGCTAGGGCTAGAAAATTTTAGATTTTACTATTTAGGTTAATTTATTCGAAAACAGCATCTAATTTACTTAATTTAATTGCAAACTGAGTAGATAGAATGGCTCTCAAAATTAAATTATTTTAGGCTTTCTTGTTTCTGAAAGCGATAATAATGCGTTCAGCTCACAGCCATCTACACCGAAGCAGCTAGGTCAGCAAAAGAAATACACTATTAGTTCGGCTCATTCCTCACCATCTAGCGCAATGCTTGTACTTGATAAACAACCAAGTTCTATTGAAAGTCATTGTTCGACTAAACTCAGACCATGCTCTATATCACCCATGAATACATCCTCTATTCCCAGTCAGTCAAGTGTTGGTTCAGTCGATCATTTACCAAGTTCTGCTGAAAGTGTACATCCAGAAATAGCGGATACAAAACGGCCTTGTTCACAACAAAGTTGCTGCAGTTGCACTATTATTCAAAGAAAAGATGCATCAACTACTCATTCTCCCATAGCGGTATTGATTTTTTAGTAAATGAGTTGAAATTAAAAGATTTACATTAAAAATTATGGTTTGCCATATATTTCTTAGAGGTTTTTCAAATATCTCATTCAAATAAGTTTGTTTTAAAACGTCTTTGTAAATGAAGGTTGCTGGTTTGGCTCACAATAGGTCAATGGAATCTCATATTTTAACTTCACAATCTAAAGCAGTTAGCACAACGATTAGTGATCGCCCATCTGAGTCGCGTACTACTGGTCTGCAAACTGTTCAAGTTGATGCCTCTTCCAGTGTTTATAGAACTTCAACTCCAGCTCAGTCATCGGTTAGTACCTTTAGAAAGATTAGAAAAAATACGCGTCAAAATTGAAGGGAAGAAATCGGTTTCTTGATCAGTTATTGATAATTTCACATTTTATCAAAATTTGAATTGCTTGACTTATGACTACAGGGTGCGATTGTTCACGAAAATAGTATGGACCAAAATAATTTGGAAGATATTCCATGGTGCAGCATTGATTTTTCTGACATCGACTTGTTTAACGGATCATCAGCTTCTGAAAAAGACGTTATGCATTCTGTTTTTGATGAAATGGATCCATCTGTGATGCATCGACTTTTTTTAATTGAGCCATCACTAGCGTCTAATGGATTAGTATCAGATGGTTCGAAAATTACTAAGTTGCCTTTGAAGTAAGTATTTGGTCATTTGTAATTATAGTGGATGCGTTCAGCCACAGTGTCTCTCTACTTTTTTTTAAAACTTATTAAGATGAATGACAGTACCACAACATTTTGTTGACTTTTGTTGGTGTAGGCGACTTCCTATCACTTTGATATATATATTAATATGATAGTAGATCATATATATCACCATGATATTGAAAGTACAATACGTCACTTATTCTCATCCGGTATCGAAATTGTTTTTATCAATATTTGTATATATTATAAAGATATCCTTAAAAATTTAATTACTGAAATTAAATACCTCTTTCAGTTTTATACTTTTAGTGTGTCGCATCTCATTACGCCGAAAATTCGAGAAAAAATTCGATTGAGACGAGATAAAGAGCTGGCTGATGCGGATAAAGAATTGGATAGGCTTCTTTCACTTGTTGCTAAAAAAGACGCTACCTCAACACCTCCACCTGCGCTTTTTATGCCTCTGGAAGCGCTTAGCCCTATTCTAATAAATAATGACAATTCTAGTGATCGCAAAATTAGTCTTAGTCCTGTACAGGTAAAATGGCGTTTGAAATAATGCAGTCGTTTAGTGAAAGAAGATTATTAGAAATTTTGAATAGTCAGAAAGGTACTTCGGGATCTTTATTTGATTGTAAGTTTTGTTTTCAGTTCACGCCTCCAGATTCACCTACACCATCTACTTCGGCCGGTGTTCCACCGTCATCGATCAGTAATTTCTTCTTCCCTTCTTCCAGTTCTTTGATCAGTACTGCCACTTCTCGTGCGCCAAGTATTCACAGCGAGAACCTTCCTGCAAAAACACGCTTTGTGTTCATGCCACCAGCAGAAAAAAAAAGGACATCGAATAAAGTGCCTGTTTATAAGCAGAAAGCAAAATCTTGTTTCCAGTCGGTGATCAAAACTGAAGAACATGGTAGGCGAACATTAAGAGTTAGTGTAATGTATTAGTACGAAGATGTTATTGTGTGTAAGGCGAAAGAAGTGGAAGTACGTTGATTATCGTTTAAATTATAATTATGCTGAAATAACGGTTATTTGGGTATGCAGACTTAGCATAAAGTTTTTTTTTGATTTTAGCTTAGAAAACTAGACTTCAGTATCCTAAAAACTGCATCGGAATCGCTTCTTAAGGTTTTTGCGCCACATAAGTTGTAAATTTGCAGTTCTGAAAAAACGAAATTCAGTGTATGAGTTGTGTTTGTTCTGATTGAACAATATAAATCTCATCCTATGATTTTCGTCGGAACGAAATCGTATTGTCTCATTTTTTTGCCAACTGAATAAATTTAAACATTGTTCAGTACAAATAAGAATAAGGCACCGCTTTTCATCTCTTAAAATTTATATTTTTAAATTTTTTGATGTGTTGAAAACTTCATGAGGTTGAACGTAAAGAGGCTGAGATGCAAAGAAATAAAGTCATTGTAATTTGCGAGCGACATACAAACAATTGCATAATTGGATTTCAGCTCCAAGTGATGAGTATAGTTTTACGGATGATGAAGAAGAGGCTAAACCGTTACCGGTGAGTGCAACTGTATCGGATGCGCAGTCACAAGAACGAAGACTAGATGCAGAAGTTGCTCAAAAACTTGCGCGAATAAATAGTACACATCCAGAACAAAAGATGAAACTTGATAGTGATGAGTCACAGTCCCAAGTATGGCAATACCACACTTATTGTTGATAGCTTAGTATATTTAAGTTTTCTGGAAATCCTTGAACTTATTTCACTAATTTTATCCTTTTCAGATGTTGTTTTGTTTTGTAAGAAAGTTTAGTTTGTACTTTAACTGCTATTAATTTGTGAATTTCAGGATTTATGGAGACATGTTGTGCCTAAAAAACGGCATTCAGCTGCGTCAGAAAGACCATTGGTACCTTCAACTCCTTTGTTACCACCTGCATCTGTAAATGAACATGTCATGGATTCCTCATCAAGTAATTTAGTTTCTCCAATGTTGTCTTCAAAATCTGCTCAAAAGTTATTGATATTAATTTTGGTTATTAGGTCAAAAAACAGTGAGGCTTCAAACAGTTGTCGATTTTCTGTCACTTCGTAGGCAGCATCGCTCCTCATTTGGATTTTTGAAAACAAAGTCGTTATCTGATAAAGAAACGGCAAAGAATAAAGAATATTTGAAACCATCCGTTGTCACAATTAAGGAAGAACCTAAAGACGATAGTAGCATAAAAAGCAGGTTTGCTTTCTAATGCTTTTAAAATGCAGATTAATTTAAAATTGGACATCCAATTTTCAAGACTTCTGTCATAGCAGTTTGAAGCATTTGAAATTGAGTATTGAGTTGTTGCTTCCATTGTTGAGGGCAAATTTTGTACGCACTTCAAGCTTGATGGTAGATGAATAATCTTCTCTCCATGCTGATTATTTTCTTGCAAATATATTCAAAAGCCGAAGTCTATAATTTATGTTTTATTTAATCGTTTTTTTTTTTTTGGATTAACGAAGCAAGAATTATTCTTAGAGTGGAAACACAGCAGCCTCTTCCTAAATTGCTAATACGGTTACCTCGTCGATCAGTTGATGAAAATAACGTAGCTTATGAGAAGTCAAGGATGAAAAAACGAAAACGGAAAAGAAAAAATAGTGATCATGAATGGATAGATCCAGAATCTAGGAAGAAAAAAAAGAAAAAACATAAACATAAGCATCATCACAAGAATGCAACTAATGATGCTTCGGAGTGAGTTTATGATATATATATGTACATATGTACAGCGTATGAAGGGGGCTGCAGTGCCTTACTAAACCATCTCAATATTGCATAAAACTGGCTAATGCTATCTATAAAATGTAAAATTTTTTATCAGAATGAATTGTGTAGTCTTTCAATACTCTATTTAATTTCTGTCGTGTTTAATAGCTGGTTTTTAGTTGCGAAGATGAATCTGTGCATAAACCGAGTGAACAGTGGAGTGCTCCTGAAACTTCAAACAAGGAAGCGGCTTTTTTCAGCAAAAAACGACGTCTTATAATGCACTGGAACGAAAGAGGAGAAAGTCGTGCAGATTCAGGTCTTGCTTGAATTATGAGTAAATGAATATTTTATTAAAGCCAAGTGCTTAGAAAGTTTAGATTGTTGGATGAGGAAGTAGATTGGATGTCAGTGTCTTTCACGTAATGATGTTATTTTCTTCAGTTTTCGAATAGTTCCTTTTAGACTATTATCGAGACCAGAATTCTTTGGTATCATTTGAAAATGGTGAACAAAGTAATGTCGACAACGACTCATCTCAACTCAGTGTCTTATCTAAGTTTCACCCGGTGGATGGACATTTGGCAGTAAGAGCAAATCCTGTTATTCATTCTTTATAAACCTCACTTTATGCTTTATTCATTAAGTTTCATGTCTTGAAATTTTAATTTTTATGGAAGCGGGAAACATACAAAACTGATTTTTAATGAACTGTAAAATTAGAAAATAGAATAAAATTGATTACTGAACTCAGTGTCGCAAAAATTAGAAAACATGTTAAATTTTTATCTGTTGATGCATCAACCATTCCCCTTCATGTTAAACACTCAAATTTTGCTTTGCTTATGATTTATAAAATTGTGTTTTAAACGCTCGTTTAAGGGTTAGATTTTTTCCTTTTTCAATTTTTTAGAAAGGAACATTCATAGTTTGCAAAAATGATATCTTGAAAGAAGATTGTCCTTTGTGGAAAGTTGACAACCAGAACTTACTACAGAAATATCCTCCATTCAACATCGACGGCAAAATAGCTTACAAAAACAGTTCTACGGTGTGCATGTTTTTAAATATTTTCAAAAGGTTTCCCGCGAGCTTGTACTGTGAGGAATTAAGTGAATGACAGTCATATAATTTCTCAATTAGTATAGATCTTTTGTTAATATAAAGCCATTCATTTTATCGAAGCAGAAAAAATTTTCCATGAAGTAATGATTTAAAAACTTAGTTTTTATGATTGAAATGTTCATATTACTAGTATTCTGGTTGGTGTGATCAGATTGCTGATAGTTACATCGTAGTACGGGTTCGATTCATCAAGCACAGCCGTTCTGAGTCCATTGTTGAGCCAGAAATGTCGTTGTTGGACATGTTTCCAGCAGTCAGTATAGAATATGAAGAGCGGCCATCACGTAATTACTTATGGACTTAGAACTAAATTTAGTGCATTCTATATCGTTACTGTTATATAATATAGAAAAATTAAAATTTGTTTTTACCATTACGGGAATTTTGTATTTTTTTAAAAATCATTTCATATTATTTTAGCATATCAGTTAAAACAGTGACTCTCCGTGATCTTCGTTTATAGTTTAGTTTGTATCATTTTTCTGGTTAATGTTTCTTTGAATAGTAAACAAGGTTTTTACATTGGTTTTTCTGACTAGAAATTTTTTATAGCGAGCTTAGAAAACGTGTCAGAGCAAAGAAAAAATTTGTTCGTAGATGATCCAATTCGAAAACAAATGGCAGTTTATATAAAAGCAATGCTTAATCATGCACTAGATATGACGTTCCTTCAAACTCTTAAACAAAATAGTGGTGAGTTCAGTTACTGCTTTTCTTATGATTTCACGTTATCACTCTTTTTTTGGTAATTTAAGAAGTCATGATAAATAAATTATGTAGACCATTAAGTATAACCTTTAATTATTCTTAAACGAGAATAGTAATCTTTATTTTGTGGTAATCATTTTTTATGGCTTTTTTATTTATCGCGTGACTGTTTTCTGTTGTATCGGTATTGAGATTAAATTATTTGGCGACAAATATCTAGTTATCTATAAATGATGTGATTTTTGTATCCTTCGGTCGATTATCCTCTCTCATTATAGACTGGAATTATTTATGTGCTCTAAATAGCATTGATAATTTAAACCAACAGCACAAAGAAAAAGTGCGATTTCGAGTAAAATGGATTCAGCGATACTTGGATTTGCTTCATTTTTATTCATCATGTGTTGTCTGCGATTCGGAAGGCAGTGGTTTGAATTGTCAGGTACTAATATTAGTTTATGTTTAATATTTCACTCCATTTTCAAAAACACTTATAGTAACTATAATTTATTACTAGATATTATTTTCCAAGAAATTTTTTCATTTGCTATAGACGGTTTTTCAAGGCTTGTGGTATTTTCGGCGTTGAAAAGGTTGTGCAACTGTTCTGTAATGAAGGCTACGATTATGATACACTCGAAGCTGAAGAAGTGTGCTATACAGGATCTGGATCTCCTTTACATGCAGTAGTAAGACTTTCATTCATACTGCTTTAGACTTTTCATATTACGTCTCAGGTTCCACAAATCAGTCTTCGTCAAGTCGCCATCATTTGCAGACTATTTTAACTTTGTTTCAGGAATATTTAGTTTGTTCATCATGTGCAAAGCTGTCAAGAATTTATCATAAGTTACATCACATGCGATATATGCTGCTAAAGATTTGCGAGGATAAGGTTAGAATGTTCTTTGTACCCTTATCTGTTATTCATTACTCATTTGCATGAATGTTTTTTATAGCTCGAGAAAGTTAGTGTTGGAAACGCGGATATCTCTTCAGAAGTAGTTGTAGGAGCTTGTATGAATGACGTAAAGTGGCTACGAACAGTAAGTTTTTTATTTATGCAAATAGTATATTACTTGATTCTTTAATGCTGTCAACATAAACCAGTAATATTAGCAACAAATGCTTGTAGGTCATTAATGAGTATGCAGATCTTTGGAGAGAGATTGAGATGAATGACTGTTGATTAGTGCCTTTAAAGTTTCGATGAACTCTCTCTTGAATCAAAAGAAAACGACTGCTGTTTCGTAGTGGAAGAAAGAGAAACTGTAAGATGGAGATTCTAAACGTTGTGAATGCGTACCGCGTGTTTGACAATGATTAGCTTTACTGATCATATGCAAGTTCTATATGTTAGGCATAGATATTTGTATCAATCAATTTTACTGAAAGAAATAGTGTTCGCATTTTTTTAGAATCTGCTCCGAACTTTTCTAGATTCTTACATGTCGTTTTTTAGTTTTTACTGTATTATAATGGTTACATTTATGAGGTTCTGGTCAGGGAACTGGTATGTAGTTAGACATTTTTACGGCATCATTTCGATAATTCTTATAAACGTGATATGTTTAAATTTACGATCTTTAAGAAATCGCTATTTAGTAATCCTTCTTTGCTAGCCTTCATCAGTTGACGAATTTATATAAGAAGACAGAAGTATGTCTAAGTATAGTTTGAAAAATCTATAACCAGATTTGTTATGTAAGAGGAATTGTCTTATATACTTGTTTTACATTTGCCAAAAAGTTTAAGCTTTCCTTAGCATGTATTTACTGATGACTTATTAGGTGTACCACTGAGGGAAGAGATGAATTATGTATAAAAACAATGGTATTGAAAGTTTACTTCACTTGTGAATCTCCGCGACATTGTTATACTTATTACCTTCATATGTGTGTCTAGTTTATTACACTTATTGGTTTAAAATGTATATAGTAGATGTTTACACATATTGTAAGGCACACATTATGTACTCGTAGCTGAACTGTTTTGGAGCTAAATAACAGTTAATTACTGAAAACTACAAATTAATCTCAGGTGTGCTCCTTCGGTAATTTCCTTACACTTTTGAAAGTTGAAAGCCAGCTTTTTGATTTTTCTGTTGATCTTTGTGTCCGTTGATTCCAACCGATGATCCTAATCGCCTGGTGGTGTCGTGTGATTTTAAGAAATTTCATTGTTTTAATGTGTGAAGAATCGAAGGGGTTACAAATTGATCTCATCAGGACTATGTTATTGTATAAATGTTATAAAGATGTAATTTAATTAGTCCATACTGCAACGCATTAATGCCATAAAGCTTCGGATTTGAGTACGCTTGTGCAGTGTTAGATTGGTTTCAATTCATAAGTCTATTGATGTAATGTAAGGAGTTGCATATTTGAGAATGGTCTAGGAACTGTTTTGGACTTCGCGTTTCTATGTATAGCTCAGTGAATAATCTGTGGTATACGCGTCAGGACTAATGGAATGGTTTTCGGTGACTACACTGTCATCCCCATTTTTATTGCAAGTTGTATGTATTTAGTAGTAGAAAGCGTAGTGGCAGTGGATTATTTCAAGTTTCTTTGTTCTTCACTTCACTGCATCGTATATGTCCATCATTTATACTGGAATGCAGTAATGTTTTGCTGATTAGTTCCGTTTCTTTACTGAAATAAGAAACTATTGGTTTCTCGCAAATAAGAAACGGTGGTAAACCACGACTTAGATCAAGAAGACAATAGTTGGAACGGCCATCTGTCTTAGTGTATCAGTTACTAGTATGCTTCTGACAAGACTTCTAGACCCGGAAGATTAATTACCTATGGCTGAAATTTCTGATACCAGTGCTGTGAGCCAAACGGTTTCTGAATGAAATAGCTTGTGTAATGAATACAGAACTCTACTCTGTTGATTTCTAATTAATTTTACAGCCATATACTTATATCTCGTGAAAATTTCACAGACGACCTAGTCATAGTAACATATAAATGCAGCATGGGAGTCAAAACGAGATTGAAAAGAGAATGGTGCTGCAAGACAAGCGGAGCTGTCTTGGGTTGATGTTGTTCACCCTGTCGGTGGTATTGATTTATTGATTTGTACAATAGGAACTATGAGAATTTAATTATGCAATTTGGGTCTGATATCTTTGTGTTCTTTTGAGCTGTTGATACCTTCCATGTACTTTGTGCACTGTTTGCTGTTAAAAAAGGCATCGAAAAATCTTGGGCCAGCATCTAATATCCTTGTCTTACCTCAAGGTATTGTATTTGATTTCACTTTAATGATGAATGGTAGATTTGAGGATTTATTAAGAATATTCTTTTATTCCATTTTTTTCCAGAATGTGTTGAGGTGTCGGTCAAGTAGT